CATGGCCCTGAATTCTAGTTTTGTTATCTTGCTTATCTGCATTTCATTTGTCTCATCTTTAGTAGAGGTCTCTTGGTCTTTCATTTGGGATTTGTTTATTTATTTTTTCACCATTTTGGCTATCTCAGTGGGCTTTGGAGCCTGCAAAATTTTCCCTGTGGGTGTTGTTGTTCTGCTGTTTGTGACTCCCTTTACTGGTTTTGGGTGAGCATGAGAGAAACACCACTGTCCAGTCTTACTTTCCTGGGTAGAGTTGCAAGCCCAGGAATGGATTAGTTATTCTCAAGAGCCTGGGGTTTTCAGTTGAATGAAAAACTCTCTCAGGTGTTCAGTGTAAGTGAATTTCCCGAGGGTGGGGCAGATGCTGTTTGTTAATGAGCCTCAATTTGCATTTCAATGGCCCACTGGGTGGGGTTGAATCTCCAAGGAAGGGGCCGCTGCTTCTTCCCAGAGCCCTGGGAAGGAGTAAGATGACCAGATTCCTGCGTGGCCACAACTCAGCAAAAGCTCTGAGTGCCTTCCAAATACTGAGTGTCTACACACAGTTCCAGTGCATCCACCCTCCCTCTGTCAAAGCCAAAGGTGAGTGGCTGTGGCTATTTTAGCGCTCTGTCACAACCCTCTGTGCTGTGGAACAGGCTTGGGAGTTTAACCCCAAGGGCGCTGTTCACAGCTATGACCGCTGTTTTCCATGGGCTCCCAGCCCCCCTTCCGTGCCTCCACAATCTTACCAGGATTGATTCTGTGTTCCTGGTTATATGGCCCTTGCAAGCTGCTTTTCTGTTGCTTTTTCCCAACAATTTGTCTTTATTTTCATTGTAATTCCAGTTTGGTCCTGGGAGATGGTCTGTGTAGCTTCTATTTACTCTGCCACCATTTTGAAACATCAGGGTGAGAGAAATTCCAATGGGTGTGGTAATTGCTCTCCCACCCCCCAGGGCTAAAGCTGCTTTGATAAATATTAATGAGAAAACTGCCTGCGAAAGATGGCTTCTGCAGCTTGGGGGAATGATTCAGTACAGGGCTTCTGGTGTCTGCTTTCCCAGCTCACTCCCCAGAGCCCCAAATCTCAGACTCTCCTCATGCTACTCTAGGCTCTTCAGCTCACACTCTGCCAGAGCCCAAGGTGAGTGGCTGTAGATGAATTTAGTGCACTGGCTCTTCAAGAGGGTGTCTATATTTCCAACTATCTCTCCCTGCCAGACAGAACCTCTGGTGCTTTTGACAGCCAGGTGTTATGTGGGAACCTTTCTCAGTTCTGCTACTCAGGGCTGGGGTACCCAGCTTGGGGTGTAGACCTCATACTTCTCAGGGGGAACCTACCCACAGCTGAGATATCCTTCCAGAAATGTAGCTACTGCTTGTGGGAGCCCAGCCAGTTTTCTCACCTCATTTCCTGCAAGAGTCAGTGTGGGCTCCTCCTTACATCCTTGGTTATAAGGGTTCTCTCCAGCTAGTCTTCAGTTGGTTATTCTGGCTGACTTTTCTATATATTGGTTGTAATTCCAGTTTGGTCCTGGGAGAAGGTCAGTGTAGTTTGCATTCAGTCCACTGACATTTTTTTATCCTCTAAATAATGTATAAAGTTTGAAGAAGGTTATCTGGTTTAGGGCATTGATCTACTTAGATTTAAAAAAAAAATTTAATTAAAAGGAGAGGGATACAAATTACATTTAAACTAAAAATAAGAATTCAGCTCAAAACAAGGTATTTCTGAGAAAAAAAAGAAACCTCCCCTAAAAGGAGGAAAATTAGAAGTGTACTGAGTTTGTCTCTGCGTGGTCTGGAATTCCAGTATCAAATGGCCACCCCCAGAATTCACATCTACAAGATTTCATAAGACTCTGCTGCTAGAGAACTCATTACAACAAGTGTCATTAGCTATTTCACATTATGTATTCAAATACAATAAAAGAAGTAGGAGGTTTTGAAGAAAATTAAAGTTCTGAAATATTTGAGGTTTAAGAACACTGGAAACACATCATCTCCCTGCAGGGTTCTATAGTCCCCAAACCCTCAGTAAGGGCTAGGCTGCTTCCAGGTTTATGAAGAATTAGGGATCAATATATTTTACCTACGATTATGTGTTAGTCCATGGGATTAATGGCAATCAAATTATTAATAAAAGTAAATTTTATGAAACCATAAACCCTAAATTCAGTGTGTTCATTAGTTATGTTTTAATCTAAATATTTTTTTTAATTTTATGTATAGTTGAACAGTAGTTATCTCTTACAATTACAGATTAAAGTGTGTGTTTTAAAAGATTATAAAAAGATCCACAAATATTACAGGCTGAGATATAGAAGATAATTTATGATCTAAAAGCAAGAGAATAAAAAAAATTGAATATTTTATATATAAACAAGTCTTAAGATATTACAAAATTAACATACCCTGGCCAGTGTGACTCAGTGGTTGAGCATCGATCCATGCACCAAGAGGTTGCTGGTTCAATTCCTGGTCAGGGCACATGCCCAGGTTGTAGGCCAAATCCCCAGTGGGGGGCATGTGGGAGGTGGCCAATCAATGTTCGCTCTCATTGATTTTTCTATCTCCCTCCCTCTCCCTTCCTCTCTCTCTAAAATCAATAAAGAAAGAAAAAAAATAATATAAGATATAGGAAACTACAAAGGAGAACATTCTAAATTAATTATAAAGCTATAAAATGAATATATACAAAAGCAATTGCTTGCATAGTGCAGCTACAAAATAGGAGGGTATTTGTAATGAAAACATTCATGTTTGCCATATTCAGGAATGCTGTGTTAATGATGCAAAGAGATTCCCTTGCTTCTCAGGGAAGACTGGGTAGACATAATGTATAAATTAAGCAGCTATAATCTCTAATTAAAAGCCATGGAGCTCTAAAAAATATGGAAACTATATTGCAGGTCTGAAATGGGTATCTGTAACAAGACCTCACTTCACATCCTAAAACCAACGTGCTCACTAAGAAACAACCACATTTTGAGGCATTTTCAAATAAAGGAGGCTCAGGCTGAATGACCCTCCTCAACCTACCCACCCACTCATCTCTCAGCAATTCCTGACAATCACATTAAGAGACCACTTGAACTAAAGTTTAGTCACTGTCATGTAATACTGGACCATCTTGTTGGTTTCTTCACTTATAAAATATTTAAAGTGAAAACTGTATATAGTCATAGTCATTCAAAACATGCATAAACAAGAAGGCATATGAACTATCTAGTGTTTTGCAGGTCTCAAATGTGTAGTTTCCTTTCTGGTATAATGAGGATTATTCATTTATTTTCTTTATATACATATTCAGCTGAAGAAGAAAATCATGTGTGTTTGTGGGTGTGGATGTGTGGATGTCGTATATATACTATATATTTGTATATAACATACATATACACTGAACGGTATGGGGGATATAAGTATTAATGTTCTACAATGTTAAATTATACATAAATTATGACTTATGACCGAAAGCAGTCAATTAACTACAAGTTATAGTTTTAATGAAAACTATTCTCAAACACTGTCAGTATTTTTTATGACATCCTTAATTACTTTGAACATGATTTTCATTTACTACTGTCTAAAAATTAGCGATGTTAATAATCTTGTGTCATAGGTAAGACTAATAAAATTATCACTTCAAAGCTTAAATGAGTGAGGAAAAGTCTTTCATTAAGACTCTTTTTGGAACAGTTTTATGTTTACAACAAAATTAAAAGGAAGATAAGAGATTTCCCATATACCCCTTATACCCACACATGTATAGCCTTGCCCATTATCAATATCACTCACCAGAATACTACATTTTTTACCAAGGATGAATCTACATTGACACATCATAATCATTCAAAGCCCACAGTTTACCTTAGGGTTCACTCTTAGTGTACATTCTTTGGGTTTGGACAATGTATAGAATGGAAAAATTACATATATATATGTAATATACACACATACATACATACATCACTATACTGTCATACAAAGTATTTTCACTGCCCTAAAAGTCCTCTGTGCTTTGCCTATTTATTTCTTTATCTCTCCAATCTCTCTACCACACGCTCCTCCCCTGGAAATCACTGATCTTTTTATTGTATTCATAGTTTTGCCTTTGTTAGGATGTCATAGTTGTAATCATACAGTATGTAGCCTTTTCATATGGGTTTCTTTCACTTAGTAATTTGCATTTAAGTTTTCTCCATGTCTTTTTATGACTTGATAACTCATTTCTTTTTAGCACTAAATAATATTTCATTGTCTGATATACCACAGTTTATTTATTTACCTAGTGAAGGAAATCTTGATTATTTCTAAGGTTTGGCAATTATGAATAAGGCAACAACCAGGTGCAGGATTTTGAGTAGACATACGTTGTTAACTCCTTTGGGTAAATACCAAAAAACATGATTATTTGATAAGAGTATCCTTAGTTTTGTAAGAAGAAGCTGCCAAACTGTCTTATTTTTTACTTCCATCAGCAATAACAGAGTTCCTATTGCTCTACATCCTCCCTAGAATTTGGTGGTGTAGGAGAAACCATAAACTTTTTTGTAATTATTAATGTACAATCTAATACAATATGCTGAAATCAAATTCACTGCTTTGGAACTTGCCATCAAGACTCTTTCTGCGTTGCCTGGCCAGCATGGTTTAGTGGATTGAGTGTTGTCCCATGCACCAAGTGGTCTCTGGTTTGATTCCCATCAGCGCACATACCTGGGTTGTGGGCTTGTTCACCAGCAGGAGGTGTGCAGGAGGTGACACAATTGATGTTTTTATCTCTTTCTCCCTCTCCTTTCCTCTTTCTCTAAAATCAATTAAAACATATTCCAAAAAATAAGACATTTTGCCGTGAATACCATGGGGATATTTTACAAGTATCAAATCACCTGTTTGGCCTTTACTTGTTATTTCTTAGAATGCTCAGCATATAGACCCCATTACAGTTGTTGGCTAAAATGATAAATTGAAAAGTCAATCTCATTCTCTTCTTATTTGTATCATTAACTTAACAGGTTTGTCAAGGATGCCACAATGCCATTGATCCTGAAGTACAGCGGGTGACCTATAACAATTTCAGCTGGCATGCATCCACAGAGTGCTTTCTGTGCTCCTGCTGCAGCAAATGTCTCATTGGGCAGAAGTTTATGCCAGTAGAAGGGATGGTTTTCTGTTCAGTGGCATGTAAGAAGCTGATGTATTAAGAGGAGAGCACCAAGCAGTATTGAGCCGTAGCTATCCAAAGTGGTCTGCATTTCTACTGTAAAATGCAATTTGGAAAAATAAATGAGAAAAAAAGAAACTATAAAGCAAACCAGAAGATTTTAAGTATCTTTCTTTGCTATTTTTCCCTCACCATTTTTTTTTTCATCTCAACATTTAAAACCTGCTTTGAGCATTTGATTTTAAAATGGTAAAGAATGTTATCTTTCTTTAGCTTTCCAGTTGTAATATCTTTGAGTTGGAAGCTTGGGTTTAATTCATCTTTATATCTCCATCCCCCTTGTGCCAAATAGTATATCTGAAAACTTAAAAGCTAGCGTGCTGAATGGAGAGATGAGCATTTCTAGTTCTATATTCTTGTTTTCCTCTACTGTAAAATGAAAAGAAATTTAAATTTTCCTAATGCCAAAGCTCTACATTTATAAGCTCATCATATTTGCTGAATTTTGTAGCAATACACAGTGAATTGTTTGGACAGAGAAAATAGAAATACAACATAGTATGGAGAGCTGTTTTCATTTTAAAGGGATGCATTCACTCTTTCCTAATTTAGGCAGAGTGACTTCATTGCATTTCTCTCTCTCTCTCAATTTTTCTATCTCTCAGTATTTTCTTTGTAAGCTGGTGACCTCCATAAGTGGCCTTAAATATTTTATTGTCACATGTGGCGTCCACACTTTTTACTATAGATGATTTTCAGCTTGGATTTGAAAGCCACACCATTCATTGTATTATGTTTTCAATCCAAATAACATGTATACTTTTGTACCCAAAAAGCTATAATTTGTGTTGATTGTACTTGCCTGCCGTGATTTGGATATATTTTCCCATGATTTTATTTCTTTTCTAATAGTACTGCTGTGTGATGCTTCTAAGTCTGTTCAAGGGTATATCAATTGTCTTCACCAATGTAGTTCCATCCTTAGGTATCCCTAATGTTTATTTTTTCTTGTATACTTGCACACACTATGCACTATGAAAATTAAATAAAATTAATGATATGTATATTATTATTCCAAATAAAAGTTCTTTTACTGTAATAATTGTAACTTTATTCTTCATATCATTTTCATTGTAGAGCACACAATAAATTCTTCTGCAATTAAGCACTTGTTACAGCAGGTGGAGCTGAATCCAAGGATTAAAAATTACCCAAACAAAGGCTGCCCACAAGACTGAACAGAAATTAGGCTTTTGTTATAATAAAGGAATATGTTTTATGAAACTTTAAAATAAATCAAGTCATTTAAATTGTTAGTTTTCAAGTCATGTGCAAGATTTTTTTTTTAGATAAAAGGGAAAACTATCTTCTCATGAGGTGAATCTAACAATGATTACTCTTATACTCAGATTTCAAATCTTTGGTTTTCTACAGCTTTTTTCATGGCAACCTATTGTTAATAAGAAGTAAATGTGGAATAGTAGTAGATTCATTCTTCCTCATATTAGCAAATCATGACATTTTTCCTGCTAAGCATTTCTGTCACAGTGGGAGTAGCAGTTTTCTCTGACAAACACCCAGAATAATTTGATTTTTTTTCCAGTTTCTGTTTGACTGATAGTGCTTCTCCTTATATTTCCCTCCCTCCCTCCCCAAGACATGGCTAAATGGGAATACATTGAAACAATTGCCCTACATACTAACATGACCATTTTTTATATGTCTGCCTGCCTAGCCTCCACTCTTCTGGGTTTCAGGTGGAATCAGACTGGTTGGGTGATGTAAAGTCCCAAGAAATTTGACCAAAGCCATAATTTACTACCAAAGATGCTAATTGCATGTATATTATAAATTTCCTAGAACAATAAATGACTTTGCTTGGAAAATAAAGAACCACTACATTTGGCTTTTTATCCTCATTTATGTTTAGTTTGGTTTGGTCTTGTAATATAAGAGAATAAACTCTCTATACAAAAGGTTTCAAAGTTTCCTGCCATTTTAAACTGTTAATCAGGAAGAAAAAAAAATTCTTTCAAATGCATTGTTCTATGAACACTTAATAAGAGCATAAGATAGTTAATAGTTAAGTTTAAATCCTCTTGAGGTGAGGAAAAGATAGGGAACTAATAAAATGCTTTTTTTCCCCCAAAGGTAGATAATGAAGAATAACCTTGTCTAGTTATTTCCTATTGGTTAATAAATGGAAGTCTCTATTATCCAAATCCCATTTAAGTTCTATTTTTCAGATTTATAGTTTATCCTTTTTGCATCCTATATAGCTGGCATTTACCAACCACATTTGTGCAGTTAGCAGCAGAGACACCCTCACCCTGAAAAGAGACTAGATTGGGAGGGAGTGAATACCAGAATAGGAATCACAATAAAGGTACCGTAGAAAGTAAGAAAAAAGATGTTTTTCCCTTCTTCAGAAGCCACCATCTTGGATATTAGAGAAGGATAATGATGACTTCTAATTCTCTTATCCCCTAATCAGCAATGGGTACTTGAGAATAGAGGGGTTACATGAGAAAAAGGAGGACAGATATTTCTTTCCTGAGACTCTGGAAGTTCAAAATATGTATGTTGACATAATATATTTACAATCAGTTAATGTATATTGAGATAATATATTTACTATCTATTGTAACAGACTATGTTAGAATGATTACGTATGAAGTCATTCACAGAATGTACACATATCCTATTCATTTTTAGGCAGAATAATTTTGCTTGTAACCCTTGGATTACAGTTACAGTTTTGAGATATCAGTGGATTGGGGTTATTTAATCCTACTAAAAAATATCAGTTGTTCAAGAGATCCACTGGCCTTCATATTTGTTGTATGGTATCTTTATTTTTTTTGAAATGAGGAGCTAAGGCTTGTTTTTTCTTTAATCAAGGTTAGGTGAAACTTCTATGACTCTGAAGTCTTCAAGCATAGATTTTCAAATCTGACATTAAAGTATTTCAGCCCAATTTTACCAAAGGCAAAATATTTATTATTGACTCATTCTTAAGGAATTACCAACATGCAGTGTTTAAACTCACTCAACTTCACCATGGTTACCAAATAGACACCACCACCCAGCCTTTGTCTGAAGATGCCCTGGCATATCTGAACTTGCATTCTAGGTATTCACTTACTTCCTCAGAAAACTAATGTCTCCAGTAAGTAGCACTTCCCACAAATTCTTACTAGATTTTCTCTGCCCCTCTCTGACCTCTCCTGATTTAAGTGTTCAATAACAACTTTGATGATTATACTGAATACTCACACATATGAAAAATTGTTGGGGTACATGGGTGTATTTTGAATATACAACCTGAAACCTATTCTTGCTTGACTAATAGAATCTTTTTTTTTCATATATTTACCAGATGCTTAAACAACTTTAGCTAATTATTTTGTCTCCTTATGGCAAACAACATGCCATTTAACTTCCATTTAATCTGATAATGTATTTTGAAATACTCAAAACAAGATATCATTAACCTTTTATACTTGTTTTGAATATAATTTCATGCTCACATTTATGAAGACTGCTATTGATTTTTATTCAATGATCATTTTCTCCAATATATCTTGACCTTCACACACACATGCACACAAAAACTTATCTTCACTAGAGTCAGCCATTGTCATATGCAAAGGCATTTTAGTTGATGTCACCAGACATACTGATAGTGAAGTCTTTATGATATAGTTCAAAAAAGGAGGGCCAAGTCCCATTGATTGTCCCTCTCCTCCTTAGAGTTACAACTGAGTAGGATGAGGACAAGATTGTTAGATTTGAGGAGTCTGGGAAATAGCAGGCCCAAGTATGGGATGAATGTCTGTGAATATGTTGAAGTCACCAAGAAAGACAACAGGGAAAATGATGGAGAGAAGAGTGATCCAGAGGCTAAAGTTATCAAAAACATGGAGTGTCCTGGAATTTAATAGATATCAACTAAGGGTTAAAATGAGTGGTAAAGTCTGAGGCCATGTATTATACTTCAAAGAGATTTGATTGTTAGGAAGCACAAAGGAATTAGTGGAAATAACAATGGAGAATGAGTAAGACACCTACGGGAAAGAAAACTGGTCTCTACTTGAAGTACTGCAGAAGAAGCAGAGACCTTGCAGAATACTGAGCATCACCTGGATCAAGGAGATGAAGAGGTTGAGAGTATAGTGAGTTTGCAGTTCACAGAAAGTGGACCTCAGAGGGCACAGAGGTAAAGTTGGAGTGTAGGAAGGGATAGGGCCAGATTAGGGGCTTTACAAAGCTGAATGGACATCAGGTTTCCAAATGAGGCCAAAAAATATAAATGCCTAGGATAAACAGAGCGGAGGTAAACCAAGGTTAGTCCTGATAGTTTGCTAGAGAAAGATGAGTAATCAGTTAGGAATGCTTTTGGCTATAAGTAACTAAAACACAGCCAAGAGTGCCTTAAAGATGAGACATGGGCTAGCACAAATTTGGCTTAGAAGAAACTTTCTTTTAACCTCTGATATTCCATCCTGTAAGTGTTGCCTTCCATTCTAAGTTCTGTCCTTTTATTCAAACACAACTCCCTCATATAACAGCACCTAAAGTATAGAGCAGGGGGGAAAATGTTATTTTACTTTTTTAACAAGGAGAAAACTCTTTCTCAGGAGCTCCTAATAGACTTACCCAGTGTTTCATTTCATTGGCTAGAACATACTCAGAGGAAAAGGAAAATAGGCCCTTGCCGGTTTGGCTCAGAGGTTAGAGCGTCGGCCTGCGGTCCTGAGAGACCGGGGTTCGGTTCCCACTAAGGGCGCATACCTCGGTTGCAGTGTGTCCCTGGCCCTGGTCGGTTGTGTGGGTGGCAGCCACTCGATGTGTTCCTTTCACATTGATCGATGTTTCTCTCTCTCTCTGATCCTCTCTCTCCCTCCCACTCTATCTGAACAAAAAATGGAAAAATGGCCTCGGGTGAGGATTAAAAAAAAAAAAAAAAGGAAAGGAAAATAGTAGATATGGTTGACTTATCCAATCATAATTCTTGCTCTGAGAGCTGGGCACGTGGTTACCCAGAACAATAACTTTCTCATATAGGAAGGAGGAAAATGGCTGTTAAATTGGCAGATGACAGGGACCACTATGGTACATAATTATTTACAGTTCAGTC